TGGCCATACATCCTCCCCTGACTGCAGTTATATGGACTGAAGAAGTTTGCATCCTAAACTGGCCTTTACCACTTTCCTGTAATAGCTAGACTGGGCCCAGTTTGACAGACTGGAACTGGAGTGGGACCAGACTAGCAGCTCCAGGCAGACCTGAGGGCAATGTGATCATGAGCAAAGGGATAGTGCTCAGCAAGTGGGGATGAGGCAGGGGACACAACATCTGATGGCCTAGCTACAGCTGACAGAGGACAGACTGTCAATCAGAGGCAAATACATGGGACATATCCCATGATTCTCATCCCCTCACTGTGCGCCCTGCAGCACAGTCATTCTCAGTGCTCTCAAGAATACCTTCAAGGGATGTTTGTTAATTGGATTTCTACTGTTCAGGGCAGAGTTTAGCATAAGGGTACACCTGCCCCTTCCCATTTTACAGAAGGGCCAGAGAAAAATGAGATCATTAATGCAACCCAAAACATATGCAGCCAGCGCAGGAGCTTTCTAGGTGTAATCATTAGGATAAAGAACAACTCTGTCTTTGCAGCATCTCCTTGCAAGCCTGGAAGATTGCATTAGGGAAGAAAGATTAGGGACAAGAGAGTATGTGCTGACTCTGGACAATACTGTGACCCATAGGATGACACAAAAACATTATTGTGATTTAAATGGGCTCCAAGTGTTGTGTGAATTATCTCAGATACTTTCCAAACATTTGAGAACACCCAGGGTTGGAAAGATACTAACAAGGCTAAAAAACCTGTAGCCCAGTGTTTGATCTTGACCGAACTAGAAGTCCAGCAAACAATATCATTCTCAAAATACAGAAATACAAACTTAGCTATATTTGAAATATGTCTATAAATGTAAAAATGATAGTAGTAAGAGTGTTTGAATACCTGGCTTCAGAATGATGGATTAGTCTATCTCTTTTCTGATGGTTAAAGTCTTCGACACCATCACCCAAGTTGTGAAAGCACCTTATGGAGGTGCTTAAAATTGAGAGATGAATTTCACATTTCTCTGAGCTGAATTCTGCTCTGTGTTACACCAGGGATACTCCATAAACTGAGAGTAAAACCTCTGTTTACAACAGTTTTTCCCAGTGTTCCATTTTGTAGCAGTTCTTGTCATAGCTTTTTCTATTAAAAAGTTTATGACACTTGGAATTTCTTAGAGGTGGTCAAATTACAAGCAGAAAAATGCAATGCATTTGTCAACAATTATTCTTTTTTTTTTTCATAGAAATATCCCTGTTGACAATTTCCCAGACAGCTCTAAGGATGCATTTTATTTTCTTTATATTTTATTTCGTCTAAGTTGTGAGATAGGATTTGAGTGTCAAATATCTTCAGCTGATATAAGAGGTATTTGAAATATCTTATCTCTAGAGGCTTGTGATTGAGTCTGGCAGCACCTGGAAATCTCTATCGACAGACACCCAGCAGCTGTCCTCAATAGATGGGTAATACTAAAATGACATAGTGTGCACCACAGCCTGCAATATAACTGAAAACCCAACACAGGTACACAGATGCTGGGTAGGTGTTCTGTAACTGCTGCACTTGTGCAACAGTTGGGATTACTCTGCCCAAATGTAGATGTCTGTTATAGAGATGTCTACATATGAGCAGGCCACCTCAAGCACCCTTTGCAGCAGATTGAGGTAAGCAGGCACTTCTGGGGCACAGTTCACCTCACCTTCAAGTAGACAGCTAAAACAGGACTGGTGAAGCCTGTCTGACAAGTGTCCATCTCTTCCTGTTCACTGTACCAGGACCCTGGGGTTCCCAAATCAGATGTTGACATAAAGGAAATGAATCCTACCTTATTTGTTTAAAATATGCTGTAACTTGGAGGAGAAAAAAGCTTTAAGTGTGAGAAATAATTTGCTCATGCATGGGCTCATCTTAAAAGAACAATTACATATGGGAGCATGTCTTATATAAAGGAATTTATTTTAAGAGTATGTTTTTAAACACTATATTTATGTGCATCCTACCGCAAGGGAATAATTTTGAACAGAATTAGGAGTTTTGTTTTCTTTTTTTAATGAATGGTTGCAATCATAAGGCAGTTCATGCTCTGCTTAAATTAGATTCCATTGCTGTATTTCTTCTGCTACTTATCTGCTAAAAAAAAAATAAGATAACAGTCCGGTGTAAAAACCTGATTTTCTAAGTGAACCTCTGATTGCTCAGAAAGAGTCACTGCATTCTGGATGAAAAAAATTAATTCATGGGGGGTTACCTTATGCCAGTCACTGAGCAGTCAACTCAAGAATATAAAAGTTAGAAATGAAGGTGAAATAAGGAAATTTTAAAATTGTAGAGGAAAGATTTTATTAACTAATGTGCTCCTGTTGTGCATATATTACCCTCTAGCTTTTTTTAATGTATCTTCTAATTATGTAATCAATGAAGATGCTGATGTTTACCAATGGAAATTTTTTTCCTGCTAGTACAGAGCCATGAATTAACTATAACAGACCCACAGACCTCTGCAGCTCCCTGGCAGTATAGTGTGCTGAAAACAGGTTTTCAGCATGCCCTTTTAAATGGGTTGAATCTATCTGGAAGAAGGATGACATGTTTATGAACATCCCTTGCAACACCAACTGTGCCCGATGAAAACAAAACAAGAGGAGGGTGTTTTAATTTCCTATAGACTCTATAGCAAAGCAGCATGCAGCTGTGTACTGAGGAGAGATTGAAGCAAGAAAAAGGGACAATGATTCTGTGCAACTGATTTTCCTTGTGCATCTCCATGAAACATTTTTGCTCAGTTCTGCACACTGTTCCTTCACAGGTCATGGTGTACCTCTTCAGAGGTGCTTCTGTGTATCATTTCTCCCAACTTTGCTGTTCATGTCCTGACCTAGATTGAATGGGATAATTTACTCTAAATGGTACTTCAGTGTTGGGTTATAAATTATGTGTGATGATATAGATAATGATGTCTATGAGGAAAAAAGAGGAACATTCAGCTGTAGTTACTCCCTACTCACAATCAGCCACATCCTTGGTGTTAACAGGCTAGTGCCATCCACAGGGTGACCTGACTGTACAGACTGTTGGAAATTGCATGCTAACATTGCCAGAAGCCATTACAGGTTATTTTTATTGACTACTGTAATTATAATAAACATTATGTTCCAGGGATGAGTTCTTGGCTATATTGGATTCGTGACATCCAGCTCCCATGCATTTCAGCAGGCTGAAAATTTTACCCACGGCTTTTGGAGAGCCTTATCCGAGTGTCTGCTTGCAATGAAGACGCTTGCATGAGTGTTGTTTATATTTGGCTTTTCTAAGGCAAATACTCAGCCAACCTCACTCATCACAGACACCTAATACATACCTGTTGCACATGTATCCAGCAAGGCTAGGAAGCGGAGTCTAATTCAGGGGGACAATATGGAAAGAAAACGTGCATGTCTGACTCTTCTTCCCCAGAGATAATTACTTAATGAATGATGATGATGAATCACATGTTAATGTAACATCACAACAGATACATCATCATGCCAAAGGAGAGTGTTAAGATGCTCTTATTTTTCAAATTTTTTCAGGGATCTTGGGAGAACATACCTATCCAGCTATGGAGAGCAAATCCTATTGCTGTAGCTGAAAGAACATTTCAGTTAATAAGGTGCTAAGGATCAGGCAGTAGGCACAGAGCATGTCACTTGTCCTCTCTGTACTTTAGGCTCCTCGCCTTTTAGGGAAGTCATTACTGATTCAGAGTAAAATCACAAATCGTCACTTAAGAATTAGTATTTCATTATTTTTTGTACATGGAAAGCACAGTCTTACAAACTTTGTCCTACATTTCAGTATCTTTATAACACAGTTGGTTGGGTTTAATATTTTCCAATTTTCATTTTAAGTGTCTTTTGGTAATAACTATGCTACTTCTCCCCACCATAACTAAATACCTTCTCCTGTAGAAAGGTATCTATAAGTATCTGTAGAAAGGTATCTACCATCTAAAATATATATAAAGAAGTCTAACCAACAAGGACTAGATGAGATGGGATTTGTTGGGAAATAGAAGTTTTATAGAATAAAATCCTGGGGAAAAAATAAGATCAAATTGCACAGAAATGTTTCCACAGGAAGACACTCTGTTGTAATAACATTTTTTTGCAGTTCAGCCTAAATGGGACTTAAAAAGAAATGTGTCCTCTTAATCCTGATGAAACCAGAAGTGTAATGGATGCTGCACTAAGTCTTCTGAGGAAGCTGAGAACACTGTCAGAGGAAAGAAGATTACTAGGGAAAGGAGTGCACAAAATCTAGCCACCAGTTTTGGTGATCTTTCTGCAGAGTAATATAACTTTAGTTACCTGAATGGTAAACATGAATCTATAATCCAGGTGGTTGCCTGGATTCATCTGGTCTCCTTTAAAAAAAATACGTAAAACAATACACAGACAAATGCAAAATACAAAACAAATACAGACACATCATCTGTTCAAAGCAGTTCCATGTAATTAATCAGTGCTTTGGGAAGGAATTGTTCAGCCTCATCATTGTTCATTAATTAAGAATGTGATGTTAGTGAAATCTAGTCAAAAGTACGGCTAAACCCAGACTCCAAGACTGAACTTTCAACTGAGCAGATTAACATGGAAATATTTCATTTCCTCAGTGGGTCTGGTAACACAGAGGTCTCCTCACCACTGTAAGGTCATCCCATATCACTGAACGGCCTAAGGGAGATATGAAAGCAAGGAGTCAGGCCACAGGGACAGGGAAGGCAGTACTTTTTGTGGTGAGAAAGCTATTAAAATAAGCAGAAGACAAGTATTGAAGGGAGATTTATGTAGCTTCACATGGCAGTATTGGCTTCCTACATCTGATAAAACAAAGGGCCCAAAAGTTGCCCAAAATTATGTACTGCAAGCAGGATTTATGGTGATTTTAATGTGACACAGAGCAGAAAATATGTTATTGGCAGGATATTTATGCCTGCAATTTAAAACCTGTACTTTGTTCTAGATGATAGCAAATTTTCAGAGGCCATCACAGTGCTGCTTACCTGGATTGAGCGAGGTGAGGTGAATCGACGCTCTGCAAACCAGTTTTATTCGATGGTGCAGTCAGCCAACAGCCACGTCCGCCGGCTCATGAACGAAAAGGCCGCTCATGAGCAAGAAATGGAGCAAGCCAAGGAGAGTTTCAAAAATGCCTTAACAGGAATCCTCACTCAATGTAAGTAACTCCTTTTTGTCCAGTGTTGTTGTAGTGATGGTGGTGGTGGTGGTAGTGGTTTTTTTATCATTTTGTTTGTTTGGGGGTAAGTAGTTGCAATGCAGTCATATTCTACTTCATATCCTATTCCATACTCTATGGCAATTTGGAGGAACAAGGACCATTCCTAAGAGCTTATTTCTCAAGGTGAGCAAAGTTTCAGTAGTTTTTTTATTAATAGAAAAAGACGTGCTTTATGCATAATGTCTACTGTTGCGTAGACATAATACTTCAGGAACGGACCAGACAGAAGCCTCCCAGCTCTGGGCAAAAATCATGCTTTTGTGGAGAGAAGTGATGTGTAGCCTCTGCGTTGCAGCTAGTTAACTAGGCCAATTACAAAATAGAGGACAATTAGGTTATATTTTTAGCGTGGGTTTAGGTAAAAGAAAGTAGGATTCATCAACTTTTGGGGATATATTCATAGTGTACAGGCCACCCCCACAGTAGAAGAATATGCTATACTGCTGCTGGCATCAGGACTGCTTGGCTGATATAATGCCAGTATTAATTTGGCAGATAAACTGCCTTAAATATTTAGTGCTGGCAGCTATTTCCTTAGTACAGAAATATAATCAATGAAGTTACCTTAATGAGGTTCCCTCATAAAACAATAATTGGCATACTTGCCTAGAAGTGTTCTTCAAAGGGAAAGGAAGAGAAGAGAGGACAAGGGAAGGGAAGAGGAGAGGAGAGGAGAGGAGAGGAGAGGAGAGGAGAGGAGAGAGG